AAAAAAAAAAAAAAGTGGAATAAAACCCACCCAGTTCCTTTCGTACACACTTCTGCTGTTCTGGTCAAGGGAGCTACGGGTATGGGTCGTGTCGTTTGGGGCCTTGCACCCGAGGTCCATTCTCCTACTTACACTTACAACTGGCACTGTGAAAAATTCTGTGCTCGTAACTTACATCTTTAAATTTTCCTTAGCCGAGAACAACGTTAAATAGCAAATCAAAAACACGGTCACCAGTTGAGAGGATCAGAAAGAGGGGTCAGGCTTTAGCTTCGGTGACTCCGGCAGCACTTGCCCCAGGACTCTGTGGCCAAGCGGCCGGGGCCGTGCCCCGTCGGGTCTCCATCCCGTCCCAAACCCAGGGCTCGACCCCAGCCCCATCCCTAGGTCCCCACGACCCCTCTCCCTCCTGTGGGGTTGCAGGACACGGAGATGGCCTCGGGGACCTCTTGGCCCAGCCCGGGCAGACCGGCCCGTGCCTCTCGGACACCGGGCGGCCCCCCACGGGCCCGGCGGACTTACTCCAGGAACCTGGTGATGTACTCGCGGCTGCAGCGGGACCAGGTGAGGGGGGCGGTGTCGTACAGGAGCTGTGGAGACATGATGGAAGGCCGTTTCCCCACGGGCTCGCAGTCATTGCCGCTTCCGTCGTGCTGAATCCCAAAACTGCGTGAGAGCACAGGCCCCGGGGGCCGGTGAGCTGCGGGGCCGCCGGGCGGCTCTGCCTCCAGACCGCCGTGAGGCCTCGGGAGGCCGACCCCTCTCGGAGCCTCAGCCTCCCCGGCCCAGAGCGTGGACGGGCGGGGGCGGGGGGCAGCCTACTGAGCCCGAGGGGCACCCACAGTGACGAGCCAGGGGCACGGGGGGACGGCTGTCCCCACATCCGCACCGGTCCCCAGCAGGGAATGACACGGGTCCCACCGTGCCCTGGATTTAAGGGAGTTTGAGCTGCCCTGTCACAGAGAAACTCTCGAGACGCCATCCTGGGGAAGGAGACAAGAATGATTCTCTTTGCTCAGACTTACTACGTGCCAGGTGCTGTGCTAAGCGCTTTCAGAAACCCCACCTTGCTCAGTTCTCGGAACGGCCCAGAGAGGCCCAGAAACTAGCCAAGGTAACACAGCCAGGGAACAGCAGATTCGGGGCAGAGCGCTCTTGACCACCACGGGCGGCTTCGAGGCCCTGCACGCGTGGCTGTCACTCAAGGAACCCAGAGCAGGTGAATGATGATGCCGACATCTCTGACCACCAGGCCTCTCTGTGGCCCACACACCTCGCGCAGAGGGGCCGGCTGGAGGAGCCCTGAGCATCAGTGAGTCCAACCCCCTCGAGCAACAAGGGGCACACCAAGGTCCAGAGAGGGCAGGGCACTTGCCTGGGGTCACAGAGGAATCAGACATGCAGGTGTGGGGGACCGAGAGTCAACACGCAAGCACTGAGCACACCGCGGAGGGACAGTTAAAGACACTGGTGACTTTCCGGTCGTCTCAACCCCACACCGACCGGGACTCGGTCCAAGCCAGGCCCACAGGCACCCGCGTGGGCCTCCCCACGTCTCACAGGGAAGCAGCCCGATGTGGGTGGGGACATCGCAGGGACAACGTGCAGCCACGGCCAGGCCCGCTTCACTGGGATCCTGTGGCCCGTGGGCCCAGCTGCCTGGTGCCCCCGGGTTGGCAGGGGAAGCTGGAGCGTTAGTGCGGGAACGGGAGCAGGTGCGGTACCTGTGTCCGAGCTCGTGGGCCACCGTGAAGGCCAGCGGCAGGCCCGTGTCCTCGTTGATGTTGCAGCTGCGGTGCGGCTGGCACATGCCCGCCACATGGGACAGGCCCAGGGTCTCACAGGGCCTGTTCATGGCCGCACACAGGTCCTTCCTGCGTTCAGAGAGAAAGGATCCTAAGGCTGACCTGACCAGGTGCCAGGTGCCAGGTGGAACAAAGCCCAGAAGGCCAGATGCTGGGCATGAGGGAGAGAGTAGGAAAGGAGGTGGGAGGGAGTGGGTGAGACGGGAGTGGGTGAGACGGGAGTGGGTGAGACGGGAGTGGGTGAGGTGGCGATGGGTGGGGCGAGAGAAGGAGGAAGCGGGGAAGGGAGGAGAGGAGGAGGGGAAGAGGAGGAGGGGAAG